ATTTTAAGGATGTTGAAAACAGCTCCATTCATTTTTCAATGGCAAAAAAAGTGGCTAAAAAGGGAAGTAGCTGAAAAAGTAAAAATAGCTGAAATACCAAAAGTCATAGCAGGATTGTCATTAATGAGCTGAAGGTTTTCATATGTGAATTGTTGAAATAGAACAAAAACTGTGGAACGAGTTCGATGCCAAAAAACATAAGGAAGAAAAAATGATCTCAGTTAATACAACAGTCATTTCTGCAGTTTTTGGGGAGGTCACCTCCTAATAAATGTCCTTACAGAAAATCTAACTGCTCATTTTAAATCGTTACTTTCACTTTTAATACTTAAGTACAACAAATATCAGATACTTTAAGACTTTTACTCAAGTAAAATTCCTAAAGGAGACTTTTGGTAAGATACTTGTAGTTTTACTCAAGTGTCACATTGTGGTGCTTTATACAACACTGTGTATTACACATTTGTGTAAAAACAGACCCGTTTATATAACTATTAATCTGAATAACACTGTTTGGATGCTGATGAAGTAAAAGTTGATTTGATAAAGTTTTGTTCAGGAGCCTGTTTGACACATTTTGATCTGAAGAAGGTTCTAAAGTAGAGCTTTGAAATGCAAAAACAAGACATGGGAGTGAGACACACTGAGTGAAGGGGTGACGTCATCTTCATCACTTGGAGCAGCACTTCCTGCTGGAAACAGCAGTCAGCTACATCACTGACTCCTTTTGTTCAACAAACTTCAGTTTATTTTAAAGACATGGTCTTAAACTGTTGATCAGCCTGTTTCAGTTTAATAATTGTTTTAATTGTTTTTACATTTCAAAGCTCYACTTCCTCCACCGGCCGATAAGCCCACCTCCACGCCAGACACGACCCCCGCTGTCCGGGACCAGCTCGTCGGTACTTTTACTTACTTTGGAGACAAAAACAAACAGCTGAATTAAAACTCCACCTGGTTCCGACAGATGCTCAGAAAGTATCCAACCTCAAACAGCACGCACACCCGGCTGTTTCGGCTCTTCTTCGTCTTTTTTCGGCACTTCCGTCCGCCGGTGCATCACTGCCACCAGGCGGTGGAGTGTGTGYATTACAGGCCGGGCTGTTTTAAAATAAATAAATAACCCACCGTCTCCACTGAGGGTCTCTTTAAGCCTTAATTAATAATGTTTTGATCAGTAAAACCAATAAGATTTATTTGTTTAAAAAAAACTGACCGGAAGTAGCTGACAAGACTCACGCAAGGCATTATGGGCCGTATGAAGAGGGGGGTTTATTTAGTCATAACACTATTTACAACAAGATAGTAAATAAAAWACCTCCCTATAACACACATGTAACCTTTTTATTTACATGTCTGTAGGATGAAGGACAAACTATTTGAGCCTGGGATTTATTTACATGTTTGTGTGTTTCATGACAAAAGAAACGTGTGTGTGTCTGTGTCGTGTTGTCTTATTTAGTGACCCAGCTACAGTCTTCACACTCAGTAAAACCTCACTTCTCCCTCCCTTTTTAGCTGTTTACTTCTTCATTTGATGCAGACACTCTCCCCTTCAGAAGAGCTGAAGTTGACTTATTTCAGCTGCCTCATTGTTCGTTTGTAACTTTAAATGTCTGATATTCCTCCAGCAGACCTTAGTTTGTTGAATTAAAACAGGGTTTATTGTCAGAACAGACCTACTACATGTAAACTGAGTAATAATGAGCTTTAAAGTGAACAGGCGGATCTCCTGGTTTTGTCTGGTCACTTAGCTAGCAGCTAACATGTTAGCCTGTTCAGTCAGGAGTTCTGTTGTTTCGTTACGGTGTAAAAACGTTTTAAAACCTACCTTTAACAGTTTACTTCTCACAGATCCAGTGTCTTGGTCTTTATCGGCTCTGCTTCCGTATCTCACAATCAGCTGTAGTTGTTAAATCGCTGATGCTACTTCTGCTTTTCCTTCTCCTCGTTCTCTGCCGGCAGCGGAAAAGCAGCGTGGTGACGTCAGGACGCAGGACTGAAGAGCCTACGTCACAGGGTTGCCAGATAGGAAATGTTGAATTATCGTATCAGCAGCTCAAAATGATCGTATTTTGAGGGAAATTATCGCACACCCAAGTTACATTCTAGAGAGGCTCAAATTTACATCCTGCTCAGCTCACAGTGTGCTCTGTATTCAACAAACTGCACATTCTTTTGTTTATAATAAAGTTAAAAAGCACTGTTGGGTGTCTGTTTTTTTATTTTTACAAACGCTTTGTTGTAAACAAAAACAAAACATGGAGTCTGGGGAAATGCTGCACATAAAAAGAAATGTTAAATAAAATGACTAGAATAAAATGTAAATTATAGGCAAAGTTAAAATGAAACCAGGAAAAGGACAAATCATTGTAGTTTATTGTACTTTTGATTAGTCAAGAAATAAATTGAATACATACTGAACAAATTTAATCTGCAAGCCTCCAAAATCTGTTTTTTTTTCTCTTTTAAAAAATAGCTTCTGGATGTTTATTAAATGTAAATGTTGTTTATACCTCTCACCTTCTCAGTCCCACCTTTTCTTTTTGATTTTACAGTTATTATTTTTTCACATTAGTGCTATTATATTTATCTTTGCTGCTACTAGTTGCCATCATAACCTCAATGTGGGAGGGGGTGTTCTCCCCCAGAAAACTTTGAATGAAGTAGGTGCTGTTTCCTGCATTCTGGTGTATTTGCATGTTGTTAAACATATTTTAAACTACATAAACACTTTCATATCTATTTTAGGGATTGATTCTACAT